AATTCATCAAGCTAGCCAACAAACCCGCTGAACAATTGGACTAACATTTAATTGCCAAGTACAAATATGATGGGAATTTTTCTTGGTGTTGGTGTTCGTATAATTACTAATAAAATATGCTGACATAAATACTAAAAATATAAAATATTTTATTATATCCTAACGTGAATAAAAGCTGGAAATGTTTAATCTATGACGTTTTGTCAAGTGACCCCCAAAAAATTTAATTAATGTGGTGTTTTTTATTATTATCATTATTATTTACTACATAACAACCACCTGTGGTCTAGAGATAAACAATACAATCAATTCCCAATCGATAAAATCCATGTCTTGCTCTGCATTTTTTCTCACTGAAAATCCTTTTTTTTTTTTTTACAAAGCATGTCACATTGTGGAATTTCATATTAACTTCAACATTACAGTTAGAAAACAAATCATTTTCTGTTCTACTTCAAAGAAAACAGTGTTTGTCATAATCAATAGTGGGATCTAAAAAAATTAAATTCCTATTCCACAACAGAAATTCCTATTCCTGCTTCATCTGCCGCAGAATTTTATTCTTGAGCTCCCATGAAATGCTATTTTCTTGATTTGTTTTTGCACACGGTGCAGTGCTTTGCATAAAAGCTAAATGGTATGAGAGCAGATAAACAGAATGTTATGAGCTGAGAATCTGTTCGCTTCACTTCGCTCCTCTACACAATGTAACTACACAATTGAAAGAGGGACTGAGTGATTCTGTTGTTCTTTCTCTTTGGCTTTCAGCAGAAAATCCACTACAGCGCTAAAGAGCTGCTGTGCTGAAGCATGCTGCATTTTCATCAAGTTGAGGATGACAGGGAGATCAGGCAGGCCATCCTCCAGGCTGTTTGTACCAGGTGGTAGAGCCACAGCTGGCATGTACCTCTTCCACATAAATCATTCATTCTGGAAAACACTTGTTTGCTACAGAGAGAGAGGCAGTGTAAAGTCTGCGATGATGAAGTTTAGAACAACCTTGTGGTCAGTACTGTATCGTAAGATACAGATTTACCACTTGAAAGTGTACTACAGCCATCCTGCCTTTGGAAAATGAATGTACTTAAAGGAACAGTTCATCCAAAAATAAAAATTTGCTGAAAATTTACTCACCCTCAGGTCAGTCAAGATGTAGATGAGTTTGTTTCTTCATCAGAACAGGTTTGGAGAAATTTAACATTGCATCACTTGCTCTCCAATGAATCCTCTGCAGTGAATGGGTGCCGTCAGAATGAGAGTCCAAACAGCTGATAAAAACATCACAATAATCCACAAGTAATCCACATGACTCCTGTCTATCAATAAGTGTTTTGTGAAGTGAAGAGCTGGGTCTTTGTAAGAAAAAAAATCCATAATTAGGATATTTTTGTTCATTTGAAACTGCTGCTTCTGGCAAAAATACAAGTCTTCTGGCCATAATATTGCTTTCTCCAGTGAAAAAGTCAGTTCATCTGAATCAGGAGGGAATGCTCAGATCAAGCACCGTTTATAAGCGGAAGCAGTCCAAAACTGCTCTAAAAAATATGTCTGTAGACAACAGGAATTGAACTTTTTATTATAGCGTTATTATAGATTATGGACTGGTATTTTGGCCAGATTTGTATCTTACAAACATGCAGCTTTTGACTTCACAATACATTCATTGATGGACTGGAGTGGTGTGGATTATTGTGATGTTTTATCAGCTGTTTTAACATTCTGACGGCACCCATTCACTGCAGAGGATCCATTGGTGAACAATTGACATAATGCTAAATTTCTCCTAATTTCATCTGAAGGTAAGTACATTTTCAGCAATTTATTTTTCATTTTTTGGGTGAACTATTCCTTTTAAGTAATATTCTGAGTTCAATAAAAGTTAAGCTCAATCAAAAGCATTGTGGCATAATGTTGAATCTCACAAAAAAGACTCATCCGTTGCTTTGTATTTTTTTAAAAAGCAAAGAGCAAAAATCGAGGTCACATCGAGGCACTTACAATGTAAGTCAATGGGGCCAATTGATTTAAAAGCAGAAATGTGAAGTTTATTATTTTATAGTGCTGGGCGGTATACCGGTTCATACCGAATACCGGTGTTTATTTTTGTTATGATATACCGGTGTATGTCGCTTAAACAACGTTCGGAACGCAACACTGTTTGAAAGGGGTCCCTTTTCACTGTTGCACTGTGGTGAGGGAACAGCTGTATGTGTTACTAAGCGTGAAAGTTCAGAAACTGAAGCTGTAGAACTAATTCATACCGCCCAGCACTATTATTTTATAAAAGCACTTACATTAATTCTTCTGTTAAAATGTAAGTAGTTCTTGCCATTTTTAAAGTATTTTTTGGGTTTTAGGCATTCTGTTGTCATTATTACTTTTTAAGTAAAGATCAGAATTATTTTTGAGATAATCAACAGATGCTGTCAGTTGAGATTAAATTGTACAGAACCCACAATATTACATTAAAAATCATTGTCAAACTACAAAGATCACAGTATCTCAGATAAACCTTAACAATCCCTTCCACGCAATAAAAAAAAATCATGTGTTGTAACTAAAAAATGCTCCCTAACGCACTCTCCAAGTCCATTCCTGAAGCCCACAGCCATTACCAAACAGCACAACATGTCTGAGGCTGCAGCTCGGAAATGTTTGCTCAAGTAATCATCTGTAGCTGCCTCTCAGCTCAGTGAGGTTTGTTTGCGCCCTTTTGCGGTTTGAGCACTACACTGGCTGTCTGCAACCCATATCAACATACATCCAGTTAGCAACTACGACAAAATCATCTCGCTAACAATGAAGTGTGTCTTTTATAACAAAGCACAAAAGGAGGCCATTAATAAAATTATATTAAAGACTTTTTTGAGCAATGCAAAATTTGCATTCCTTAGATATTCAGCGAAGCAGACAAATCATGCTGTGCATGCTGTTGTAGAAAATAAACCAGAAAGAGAACAGCAAATTGCTTGTGTTTTCAGTTCTGCAACAAATGAGTGCTTTCCGAAGAAGCTGAAAACGAACCTGGAATAAAGCTTGCGCAACAGTGAGAAACTACAAACGCTTTATTGTTGCATACTGTTTGGCAGATGCATTTCGGGGAAGGTGGGTTAGGCTGTTCTAATTTTAAGATGTAGAATCCACCATGCACTTTTTGAATAAATATTATAAAGATCACTCAATATATTCACAATCAACCAAATTTTAAAGTAACTGAAATGCATTAAATAATACACTCTTAAAAATAAAGGTTCCAAAATGGGATTTTGACAGCGACGCCATAGAAGAAGCATTTTAGGTTCCCCAAAACACCTTTCTGTAAAACTTTTTTTCTTAATGCAAAGAATATTTAAACAATCTAAAGAACCCTTTTCCACTATAAAGAACCTTTTGTGCAATGGAAAGGTTCCACGGAGATTAAAAGCTCTTGCATAGATGAAGAACTTTTAATTGTTAAGAGTTTATCAAATAAACGAATGCATAAATGATGATGGAAAAACCAGAAATGTGTGCTAAGTAGTGCTCAAAGATCTAAACTACCTGTACAGATAGAAGCAATCAGCCACTTTTCATAATTAATGTTCAGCCAGTGCCAAGTTCATTAAACAAGAGTCTCCAAAGAGAGAAGAAGAGGAGTTCGCAATCATTAATGGTCTTTGTGAATCTGCCAGATCGCAAATTGGAGGTCACACCTGCATAAAAGTGTCATTAACAATAAGGCAAGGTGCAATCAACCTGATTCGAACAGGACAGGACAAATGTACAATTGGTATTCAGGTCATGATGATGAAACTCTATAGATTTTTTCTGTTTAGCACCTGAGTGGAAGATACTCTCCACAACGGACTGCTATTTCCCTCACCCCAGGTCATGTCTGTTCACAGCGCAGACAAAAATGTACCATGGTAACCAAGGTGTCTACCAAAAAGTTACTATAGCTACCGTCACAACAACAAAACATACAGTAGTATAGCCCACTACTGTATAGTATGTCTACATACTTGCCGTAAACATTTGTAATTTTGTATGTCGTTTATTTTTGTGATGACCGTGCCTGCTAATATAACATTACTACAGTATTTTGATGAAAGCTATGGTTATTAAACAGAAAATTCTGCACAAAATGACAATGCTTCTTACACTGCTTTAAGTATATGCCATATAGATATGTTTTATTTTTTAGTGCAATAATTGCAATACATTTGGCAGGTAACTGTGGTTACCATGATAAGTCATTGTGAAGGTGGTAATTTAGTTGCATTTACAATGAAAGGTTTTTCTATATAAATGCAACAATTTGTGCCTCTGCATCAGCAATAAAATATAATTAGTTACATAATATCATTTTTTGCTGAATTTCTGTTTCTCAGCTATATTTCATTTTCTCATAGGGATATAATTCATGAAAGGGATATAAGATAGCATATAGTGTTTAATGGTGTGAAAATATTTTTTTTAGTCTATGAGCTCTTTGGGCTGTCTCAGGTCTTGTAGCCTATTATTGGACCAGTTTTTGTTTATTTTAATTGTTAGTTGTATTTATTTATTTGATTTTTGCACTGTTGACTGCATCAACCTCAAAATGTAACCCTGTTAACCAAGTTACTGTAAGAAAAAAAATCAAATATGGTTTCTATTACTTTGTTTACTATTTAAGCTATTTATTATATGTTCCAAAATTATCTGTAAAACAGATCAATTTAGGCTACACATGCAAATTTGTTCCCTATTGTGGTGCATTTTATTTATTTTATAAATCCCAATTAATTCTAATGTTAATGCTTATTTAAGCACCCTTATTTAATCAACATTTGTTAACAAATAGGCTTATGGTTCATTTTGTACTCTTTTTGTGGAAAGTGGCAAAAACAGCTAATTTTTGCCACACGATTTTTGCTGAATTTATGGTCTGCAGCTCTATTTCTCATAGTTTTAGAGAGTAAACGTCCTTTCTAACGTAACATTTGTACGCACAGTAATTAAACAGACATTCGTCTTACCTTGTATGTGCTGATTAACCACATTCTCCAGCCGATCCAGTCGCTCTATAATCCGCAGAGTTTCTCCTTTCCTGTCGCCCTCCAACTTTTTGGCTGGGACAGGCATCGGCACTTTGATGTACACATTAGCGATGTAATTAGTCACCCATCCGACGTACAAAAGACACACTATGTTGGTCATGCCACTTAGTATCACACACGTAGACACCAAAGTTTTGGTTCTCCTGGTGCAAGCCATTCCGACATCCCTCCATATAGAGTCCGAGACACAGCGGACAAGTGCGCCTGTCCTCAACTCTGTATGTACTCCGATGGAGAATAACGCGCCTGACGCAAACACTACAGTCCGCGCTTCATTCTGTTCAGCTCTGACAGATTCCAGCGACTTGAAATGGGCAACTATCGTCTTGTTCCAACACGAAACGCCGCGTCCTTTATCTACAGCGCCAAGCAGCGCTATAGGAAGAAGAGCGAAGGTGCGCGAGTATGTGTGTGGTTTGATCCTGAGCCTGTTGACCAATGAGATGAGCTGTAATCTATGGAACCAATTGCACAATGATCCGGTAACAGTAAGGAGGTGCTTTATAAAGGCAGAGACTCTTACTGTTTCATAAAGTAACTTTTTTACCGTTTCATAAAAACAAACATGACTTGAGCGAACAAAATAAAGGAGCACATTGCATTTTAAAGGGATAGTTCACCCAAAAATGAAAATTCTGTCATCGGTATAGCCATTGACTTCCATATCATAGTTTTTTTCTTCTTTCCATACTATGGAAGTCAGTGGTTACTGTGTGGTTACTTGGTTACCAACATTCTTCAAAATATCTTCTTTTGCGTTCAACAGCTGAGAGAAATTCAAACAGGTTTGGAACAACTTGAGAGTGAATAAATGATGACAGAATTTTCATTTTTGAGTAGACTATCCATTTAACTGTGAAAGAGTGCACGGTAGGATGTAAGTTGCTAAACATTTAATATTTGAATATTAATAATAACATTAAATAACATTTAAATATTATCTAGTGGCCATTATCTAGGGAGAGTAGAGTAGTTTGCATCACTAGGTAATATCTAATGATGCAAACTACTCTATTTTATGTCAAATTTCGCCATTTTGAAATGAAAATATAGGCTAAATCATTTACGTGATTCAGGTAATTCACAAGTAACTGAATGTGACGAGACAAGAAACATTTTGCCGTTTTGCGTTGTCAACACATTAGGCAAATGAATAAGAATGAATGTGTGCAAAATAACAATAAACAATATTTGCAAATAAGTAAAATTGTTTTACAAAAGTTCATATTCCTGTGTTTTGCCTATTCTTCTTTCTTTACCCGCATTCCATTAAATCCTTTAATTACTTAATTCCTAAATAATAAAAGACCACCTGAAAAATACCTATACAAATTATTGGAAGTTATTATGTATGTTATTATATAATTTATAAACAGTCTCACAACTTTTGTAATCATGAGGGTATTAACAAGGCACACAGTGATTTCCCTGATCATTTCCAACTTGTTAAATCGATGGTGTGCTCATGTTCATGCTTTGCTACAACACTCCTCAATCTGCTCTGTGTAGCCTATTATTTGTATTAGAGTTTAAAAACTGAAGCATCATGCTAGGATTCAGGTTTGGTATCTGTGAACAGTAAAGCCCTGGCATCTTTTGTTTGATTGGCCTTTTAAATAATTTTTAATATTGCAATATAACATAAATTTACATACAACAGTTCTTTTATAAGTGCTGATATTTAGTACAGCGGCACTTTTAACTGTATCACTCCATTTGTCCATATCTGTGCATTCCAGAAGGACAAGGCCTATTCACACCAAGACAAATGTTTGGTGAGAAAATTTGGTGCAATAAACATTTTCATTTGAATGAATGCTGTACAAGCCATTTGTATGCAGTGGTCAGAACAAACGAATCACATGCAAAGATCAAAACTCATTTTCATGCCAAATATCCGTGGTGGTGTCAACAAGCCTTCAGTTTGTGCATTGGTGGGGATTTTTCAGTGACTTTTTCTGCAGGTTACATCCTTACTACTCCAGTAGGTGGCGACACATTTATCACGACTGAGTCACTCAATTATTCACTCTTCATCAGTTCATTAAAATAAATCACTGATTTGTTCAGAAAGTAAACAACGCTACTAGGGGATGGCATTATCGAGCAAAGTAAATTAGATTACCACAAAAAAAATCCAAACTTAAACAATAAATGTTGTTGGAATTCCAAATTCCAACAAAATTGAAAATGTCCATGTTTTAGGTTGCAACACCAGCTGTCTTTATACTTGACATTAATTTACATATTTTTGAATAAATTGTAAATTATAGTAGACTTTGTTGTAGCTGATAGATATACTAATATTATATCAACGCATGAAATACATATCACAAAAAAAATTACAAACAGTGTTACTTACCTCAACATTGCACAACAGAGGGTCCTTGCTTGTGTGACAAACAGGATTCTGGCTCTTAGGAAGTTGGGTGGAGGAAATCATTATTTGTATGAGAAGCCAAGCTTAAGTACACACAATGCACGATTGTAAGCAACAGTATACGTAGTTGAATACAGAAGCTAATATCAGTAGCCTCTCTTTTAGATTATGGATATAATTTGTCAAATTATGTAGATTTGAGAATTACATTTTCCATGCTTCCAATTTTGTTTCGGTGCTTACTGCTTAATAGTATTGTTTATGTGTGTGGTCAAAAAATAATAATAATACAAATAAAAATAAATAAATACATTTTATTTTTATGAATTGTTAATATTTTGTGTATAATCTTCCAGAGCACTGCTACTATCAGCAAAAGCACTAATATGTAAGAGTAGAAGGAATAAAGACCTATCATAATCTTGTATTTTATAGCCACCCCATGGGTGCAGTCTGAGGAAACTCATAAAGAAATGGTGTTGATTTTATCTCATTAAATAAAACCCATATACACACATGAGTATATAATGTTTGATTCTACTGGGGCATCAATAGTGGTGTCTTAAATAGCTTCGAATAAATGAGATACCAACAAAAACATTGCTATAACATTTACAGCTAAATAATACACTCTTAAAAATAAAGGTTCCAAAATGGGATTTTGACAGCGAAAGAAGCATTTTAGGAGAAGCATTTTAGGTTCCCCAAAACACCTTTCTGTAAAACTTTTTTTCTTAATGCAAAGAATATTTAAACTATCTAAAGAACCCTTTTCCACTATAAAGAACCTTTTGTGCAATGGAAAGGTTCCACGGAGATTAAAAGCTCTTGCATAGATGAAGAACTTTTAATTGTTAAGAGTTTATCAAATAAACGAATGCATAAATGATGATGGAAAAACCAGAAATGTGTGCTAAGTAGTGCTCAAAGATCTAAACTACCTGTACAGATAGAAGCAATCAGCCACTTTTCATAATTAATGTTCAGCCAGTGCCAAGTTCATTAAACAAGAGTCTCCAAAGAGAGAAGAAGAGGAGTTCGCAATCATTAATGGTCTTTGTGAATCTGCCAGATCGCAAATTGGAGGTCACACCTGCATAAAAGTGTCATTAACAATAAGGCAAGGTGCAATCAACCTGATTCGAACAGGACAGGACAAATGTACAATTGGTATTCAGGTCATGATGATGAAACTCTATAGATTTTTTCTGTTTAGCACCTGAGTGGAAGATACTCTCCACAACGGACTGCTATTTCCCTCACCCCAGGTCATGTCTGTTCACAGCGCAGACAAAAATGTACCATGGTAACCAAGGTGTCTACCAAAAAGTTACTATAGCTACCGTCACAACAACAAAACATACAGTAGTATAGCCCACTACTGTATAGTATGTCTACATACTTGCCGTAAACATTTGTAATTTTGTATGTCGTTTATTTTTGTGATGACCGTGCCTGCTAATATAACATTACTACAGTATTTTGATGAAAGCTATGGTTATTAAACAGAAAATTCTGCACAAAATGACAATGCTTCTTACACTGCTTTAAGTATATGCCATATAGATATGTTTTATTTTTTAGTGCAATAATTGCAATACATTTGGCAGGTAACTGTGGTTACCATGATAAGTCATTGTGAAGGTGGTAATTTAGTTGCATTTACAATGAAAGGTTTTTCTATATAAATGCAACAATTTGTGCCTCTGCATCAGCAATAAAATATAATTAGTTACATAATATCATTTTTTGCTGAATTTCTGTTTCTCAGCTATATTTCATTTTCTCATAGGGATATAATTCATGAAAGGGATATAAGATAGCATATAGTGTTTAATGGTGTGAAAATATTTTTTTTAGTCTATGAGCTCTTTGGGCTGTCTCAGGTCTTGTAGCCTATTATTGGACCAGTTTTTGTTTATTTTAATTGTTAGTTGTATTTATTTATTTGATTTTTGCACTGTTGACTGCATCAACCTCAAAATGTAACCCTGTTAACCAAGTTACTGTAAGAAAAAAAATCAAATATGGTTTCTATTACTTTGTTTACTATTTAAGCTATTTATTATATGTTCCAAAATTATCTGTAAAACAGATCAATTTAGGCTACACATGCAAATTTGTTCCCTATTGTGGTGCATTTTATTTATTTTATAAATCCCAATTAATTCTAATGTTAATGCTTATTTAAGCACCCTTATTTAATCAACATTTGTTAACAAATAGGCTTATGGTTCATTTTGTACTCTTTTTGTGGAAAGTGGCAAAAACAGCTAATTTTTGCCACACGATTTTTGCTGAATTTATGGTCTGCAGCTCTATTTCTCATAGTTTTAGAGAGTAAACGTCCTTTCTAACGTAACATTTGTACGCACAGTAATTAAACAGACATTCGTCTTACCTTGTATGTGCTGATTAACCACATTCTCCAGCCGATCCAGTCGCTCTATAATCCGCAGAGTTTCTCCTTTCCTGTCGCCCTCCAACTTTTTGGCTGGGACAGGCATCGGCACTTTGATGTACACATTAGCGATGTAATTAGTCACCCATCCGACGTACAAAAGACACACTATGTTGGTCATGCCACTTAGTATCACACACGTAGACACCAAAGTTTTGGTTCTCCTGGTGCAAGCCATTCCGACATCCCTCCATATAGAGTCCGAGACACAGCGGACAAGTGCGCCTGTCCTCAACTCTGTATGTACTCCGATGGAGAATAACGCGCCTGACGCAAACACTACAGTCCGCGCTTCATTCTGTTCAGCTCTGACAGATTCCAGCGACTTGAAATGGGCAACTATCGTCTTGTTCCAACACGAAACGCCGCGTCCTTTATCTACAGCGCCAAGCAGCGCTATAGGAAGAAGAGCGAAGGTGCGCGAGTATGTGTGTGGTTTGATCCTGAGCCTGTTGACCAATGAGATGAGCTGTAATCTATGGAACCAATTGCACAATGATCCGGTAACAGTAAGGAGGTGCTTTATAAAGGCAGAGAC